AAAAGAAATAACCCTCTTTTGATATTCCCACCTCACTACAATATCGCTCACTCTCTATTTTCCTCACAGACTATTTTCTTATACCTTGTCTGTGAAACCTCACTCTTTCTTTCTCTCTTTGTTGGTGTGAAGAAATGAGAGTTGAAGCTCTCCTTTTATAGCCAAAGCTTCACCCTCTAAAGCCTACAATATTTGACAATTTACACACATTTTTCACAATTCAACAAAGTTGGCTACCAAACCAAAGAAATTCAACAAGGTTGGCTACCAACCAAACCAAGTCAACAAGGTTGGCTACCAAACCAAAGAAAACTCTTATTAGGCACATGCCTAATACTTCTTCAATGAGATGGACATCATCAAACATGACCTTTCTATTCATTTGTCCTCTCAAGTTAATTCCATCATCGTTCATTTGTTCCAACTTCATATAACTTCAAATAATAGTTGATAGAAATTACACTAAAAAATTATTTTAGTAATTGCTATATACAACGCCAGAAACTTGAAGATGCCCTTCTTTTAAAGATTCCCTTCTTTCCATGTCCACTAAAAACCTGCTTGAAATTACACTAAAAAGATGCCCTTCTTTCCATGTCCACTACACATACGAATCTTGAAGTAAATTTCCCTATTTTAAAGATTCAATTTTTACAATCTGGGCTTATATGAATATCTTAGTATTTTCGGGTTTGTTGTGGAAAAGGTGAAAATGGTGAACTGGTTAATGTCTAAACGTGAAAAAGGTGAAATGAACTAATCCCAAAATTGGATTTAGTAGTAGTGGGTCGGGAGCGGGTTGTGTAAGTTTGGATTTGCATGTCAAGTATGTGGGTCGGAGCGGGTTCGGTCCAACTTTGGGTTATCAAAAAGGAACCAAATGGCCTTGAGCCTTAAATCAACGCCACGTGTACATTCCGTCAGTTTAGAGACATTTTTGTTTAATAGTGTAACGGTAAAAAGTCTTTTGACCCGATAGTATAACGAAGAACATTTTTAAACAATTGTTAATAGTAGAGTGACATATGAGAACCTTTACCGTTTCAAATATCAGCACTAGAATAACCAGCATATTCAAATATGCTGACGACACCTTTCTCGCTTCATCTTTTGAGACTTCTCCAATTACTCTGTGCATTTTTTGTCTGATTAAATACATGAAAAATAATTTCAACAGTACTGAAATAACACCTTTGGAGCCACTAAAATAACTTCATTGAAGAAAATCAGAGGCTTTTGTCTAGCAAAATGGTCAAATGTCATGAAATCTATAGAAACTGCTGGACTCAAATGAGAACACCAGCTTAACAGACTTGAACACATATCTTCAGGTCATCTATTCCTCTTTCAGAAAGGTTGGTTCTTCCAAGTAAAATTCTTACAGAAACATAAATATGTTTGCCTTCACGTTACTATACCGAAACAAATAACCAAGTTAGGATAATTCTGTCACATATTTCAAGAGCAGAGAAACCACTAGAACAAGAGTTGGTTGCCTTATCCCTCACCAATCCAGTAGTAAATCTTAACCATACAACCTTCTTTCCTCAATCATAAAGTCACTTCAAAAATATTTTATGAACAGCACATCTATGTCCTTTCATATTCTAACAAGGTCATCAAAAGTAGAAACAATCAAAACAGAGGACCCTTGAAAACTTCTTCACCTATCAAGACAGGTAAATAAGAATCCCTCCTAGTAATTGTCATCTGCACTATTCCAACTTACAACTAATCTCCCAAAAAAAGGCTGATGAGGAGAACTTTTGATTATTTAAATAAGCATCACAAGGGCATAGTAAGTAGGGTAGTCAATGACTACCTTTTTTAGAGCATATAGGGAGCTCACAAAGGCCACATACTAAAAACAACTACTACTACGACACCTCAATCCCAAGCAAATTGGGTCGGCGATATGAGTTCTCATTGTCTATGTCGCTCCATCCAAGAAAGAGCCAGATGAAAAAAAGAACATTTTTGGGGGAAGTTTGCTCGAGAGAAGCTTAACTAGCCAACACCTCCATTTTGAGCAAGGCCTCAAAACTAAGCAGATCCAGACTCTATGTGCACATACATATCCATCATAGTGATAACTTGACAAACACTGATTCAGTAACAACATTGAGAGAATTACAACAACAAACCCAGTGTAATCCAGAACATTGAGAGAATTCAGTGTTACATTTCCATTGCTGCACATTATTAATAAATCAATATTTCGGACTGGAGCCATTCAGACATCTGAGCAAAACTGAAAGTACATCCAGAATTATCTGGTAGTAAGGAAATACCAAGGACTTTGGTGAAACAAATATCTATTAATAAGCACTGACGCTAATCGCTTCGACTGATATCCTGGATAGTGAACAAGAGAATCTACAAAATTTAAACAAGCTTACTGCTTTAAAGAAAGTCATGTCAACAAATTGACTGGACCTGAAAGAAGATGTGTGTTAACAGGCTAGCTGAACTTCTTATCAATTTAAGTTGATATTCGTTGCGAACTACCTTTATGAAATTTAATCAAGATTATGTCTAAGGGCATCATACCCTGCTTTTATTCTTCTAATTTCTGATGACCCTTTTCTGAAATTGTCTCCAATATGTCATAGTGACCATAACCATGAAACAGGACATTAATAGGATTCTCGCCCTCCTTCCTATATTCTTCGCCATAATTTGATATATTTATTAAACTGCCTGAGCTTCTATCTACCATATAGACAGAAATTGGGGACCTGCAAAAAAATTAAATCAGGAAATATATTAACAAAATTAGACAACAGATTCTAGAATCAAAGCCTTAACCAGCGTCATGCATAGTCAAATTCACATAGTAAGCAAACAAAATAGTTCCTTAAGAAATTGCGTAGTACTTAATAAAGCAAGCCTCCTACTTGATTTAACTTGAAAGTAACAAGGCTAAAGTGGACAAAAAATGGACATAACTAACAATTCTTAAACACCATAAAAGAGTCTTCTTCCCTTATCCCACAACAGAAATGATCGTGTTAAGTGCATAAACAAGCCATGTCGTGCTATCATATACAACTACATGCATAGAATCACAATATAATGTGCTTTCACTCTTTTTTCCTCCCGGCAAAAGCTTATTTTCCTTTCTTCATACTTTTCTAATTGTAGCATTACTGCCTTCCATTGTGAATATACAACATCAACATCTCAAAATAGTTGGATATATAAATAAACATTGACAAAATGATCAATCATAAGACAGAAGCAGCACTCACTTGAGAACATGAGAAGCCATTAGTAGCTCTGGTTCTCCTCCCCACACGTATGGCTTTTCAATTCTTTCTAC